AAGAGGGAGGGGGGGGGGGGGGGGGGGGGGGGGGGGGGGGGGGGGGCTCTGAAAGTTTGTCAGTAGTTGACAAGGGGGGGAGGGGCTCCAAAATTGCTAAAAAATTATGGACGTAATAAATGGACGCCCCCTTGTCACCAATATTCCCTTTAAGCTGCGCGGCCGCGCAGCAGTTTTGAGTATCCGCGCAGCAAATTTCCATGTAAGTGTGTGTTTGTGTTTGTGGGTTGTAAAATTTTGCACACAAAAAAATTGATGCTGTAAAAATTTGCACACACCTGTATGATTTTGCACACGAACCAACAAACCTTAGAGGGAACATTGCATGTCACATATATTTACTAAAATATTTATTTATTGTAGACGTACGGGTAATTTCTAGTATCAATACATCATATCAATATTATAAAAAAACTGACTTTTCAAAGGGAACCAACTCTGAATTAAAAAAGGCAATCACTGTATGTTTTCCAGAGGCCTAAGGTTCAGGTCAAAGTACAGAGATCATTCACAAAAATTATGGCTGCTCTCATCCAAAGAAAGGCGTTGTATAGTTGTGTTTGTAAGTGTATAAATTGCATTTTGAGAATTTAATTGAAATGGTTCATATAAATTAATTAACGTCTTACAAGTTAAAAACCCCATAAAAATATAATGTGATATTCATCATATTGTGAGCCTGTAACTGTATTATTGAATTAAATTATTATCACTACACTATTTTAATTTTAAAGAATTTTGGCCAAAATTTTGAATTAAAAATTAAAATTTAAAAGATGTCATTTTTATTTACTATTTACTAAGTACTTAACTGAATGACTAATTTTCACTGAAGCTTAGGCATATAATAAAAGTAAAAGATAATTATTTTACCTAGGGCTTACTAGGTTTTACTTTTACTTGTTAAAATTAAAAGTAAAATACTTTACTTTTGTTACATTTTTATAAGTATAAGTTATATTATACTTACTTTAAAAGTAGTGCCAACCAAACCCTAAAATTTCCTCAAATAGCATAAGTTAGTAATTTATTCCTCTTTAAAAGAAAATTGAAATGTTTTAAATTTGCAAGGTTTGGAATCATATTTTAAATTAAAATACATTTTAAAAATAGGCCTTCACTATTTACTCAGTAGTCTGTAGTCAGTATTACTTAATTTACTTTGTAACAAATTTAATAACTAACTAAGTTACTAAATTTGTTTGATTACATTAAATTAAGCCACAGAATCACATTAAATTACTTTATTATTTATGATTTCAATATCATATTTTGTCCACTTATTTTTGTTGGTAGAAAGTATTGGCATATAAGTCATAAATGCTATAGAGCTCTCAAAAACAACAACAAATATTTAATTAGTTAAGGCTCCTTACAACTCACACAACTCTGGATTATCATTCGACCACAGAAATGGTTGAAAAAATTTAAATAAAAAAGAATGTTGTAAGAATGGTAGAGTGGTTGGTATTACGAGTATCACATTCACATCCTCCTCAATAAGTTGGTATTTTTTCCTCCATATGAGTATTTCTGTCAATGAAGAAATCAATGGTGGATATCTGAGCCCAACAAATATAGGAAGACAATGAGGCCAGAATGCCTGTTTTTTGTAGTTAATATATGACGTAGTGCGTTCAAGTCATGTTAAGTAAATAAATAGTGAAATAAAATATGTTAAGGCTTGAAAATAAGAGACAAGGCAATAAAACAGATTTTTGCCTAGATGCTTTCTTCAGTATACAATGCAAAACAATAAACAATTGATACGTTTAAATTAAAAATAAAACTTATGTATTCGAAGATCTCAATAAAGCCAGTATAGCTTAATGTTTAGAACAGTAAGCATTCTATGTTAATGTTTGAAGTTGAGTTATTCAAAACTAAAACGTCCATCCCACATTATCCTGTTGTGTGTACTATCAAAGTAAGAGAATTAAAGTATTTTTTAATGTAAAATTTAAAACGGCAAAAATTGAGACTAGAAATGCAGGGAAATAAAGGATCACTAGTAAGTGAGTATTAGATTAATTCAAAATGGTGATATGGTGCCGAAAATCTGAATTTATTTGTTTTCTTTAATCACTCTCGCTGGTGTATTGATGCCCACCAAATTAGAGCGATGATGGATACATCGGATGTGCCCTTGTGTTCACTTCCATCAAAAGGGGATGAGCACGGGAATGGCTTGTTTTGTTCAATATCCTGCATTTATAGTTAATTATAATTGACATCACATACTTAATGTTTGTTTCAGCTGGGTTGCGCTGTGTAAGCACAACACCCTACAACAATGCTCAAGCCCAAGCAAGTAAGAACCTACATATTCTTTAATAACTTAGGTAACTTAAAGGAAAAAAAGGAAATTTTAAACTACCAGGTATAAATAAAATTGAAGCTCACTGTAGAAAAATTTAGGCAACTCATTGTGATTGCTGTTGTGTGTAGTAAGGATTTTGCTAAGGTTACAATGTGTTTCACTTATTGGCTAATAAATTCATCTTTAACCAGCTTTGCATTCTTTATGTTTATCTCTCTTTAACTTAATTTTGTAGAGTAAAACTCATTAATAAGAAAATATTAAATGCTTTAATTATTCAGGAAACATTATATTTAATTTGTGACACCTTCTGAGTAGCTTACCTTGAATTTTAACTTTGAAAAATCAAACCTCTAGTTTTTGTCCATAGCAAGTAAATGTATCTGCATGCAATATTTCATTAAGTATCAGTTTATTATTTTCTCCTAATTCATTTGCACAGAGAGTAGAAAGACATTGGGCAAACCAAATGTTAAAAACATTGTTTTGGTTGAAGGAGTCAGGACGCCTTTCCTGCTTTCGGGGACTTCATATAAAAATTTAATGGCACATGACTTGGCTTGTCATGCTCTAAGGTAACCTTTACACATGAATATTAAAAGGGGGTCAGAAATGATAATTAATTACATAAAAATTCTTAAGTGAACATTTTTGTATGATGTTATTAAAGAAAGTACTTTTTTTCAGAGGCTTGGTAAAAAGGACAAATATTGCTACAGGTAAGTTTAAACATGTATACAAAATTATCATCTATAATAATAATACAACGGTTAAAATATTTCTATCAGTTTCATCCTGAAAAAGAGAAGTACTAATCTTGCAGTTATGTCATGTCACTATCTCTTTAAATGATAGAAGATGTCTCAAAAATAAAACTTTACTTAACAGATGCTGTGGAATACATAATTATGGGAACAGTAATCCAGGAAGTCAAAACAAGCAACATAGCCAGAGAGGTTCTTTTTCAACTTAAAATTTTATTTAAAAAAATTAATTATTTTAAACTTGGAGTTTATCACTATCATGTAAATTAATTATAAAGCTAATACTCGCAAATTTATATCTTCAAAAGGGATTTATTGGCATTCAGATGTATAAAATCTTAACATACAGCATAGTAATAAATTTAAACATGACAGTTTTGCTTCTTTCTTCAGGCAGCTTTAGAGGCTGGTTTCTCAGATAGGATCCCAGCACACACAGTAACGCAAGCGTGCATTTCATCCAACCAAGCGATAACATCAGGTAGAGTTTTGATATTACCAGTTCACACAAATTATTCTTCCAACTCAGCCATTTTTAGTATTTAGTATTTCAGTTTCTTTTTTTTTAATGCAGAAGGTGTAAAGTAGCTTGTTGCAGGATGATAAACAACAAAATAAGCATGGTGCTGAAAAAATTTTGAAAATGGGAAAAATAATGTGTAGAAAAATGAAATGGACAAGAAGAGGTTTTGATAAATCTTTGTGGTATTTGTCAAAGTTGTTATTTTTGTACCATTTTATATTTTGGTACTGCATATCCTTTTGGATTATGTCATAATTAACTGGGCTTTGTAAATTAAATCATTTTACACACATAAAAAAGGGTTAAAAAAATGCATTAGTAATATGGTATAGCTAAATATTTTATTTATTGTTTTACTCTTTTACTGGTACAATTAATCATTAAATCCTGTTTAAAAAATTGTTAATGTTTTCAATTTTTTTCGTCTCTCATTTGATAACTAGTCTTACTATTATCAATGAATTAAAATTAATAAATTATAGAAATATAAAGTGATGGATTAAAATCAATTTATTCAAATCAATATATTTTTTGTTCTCATCAATTTGAGGACCCACAATCAGTTTATTGATAATTCTGGCTCTGGTTTGAAGCCAAAGTTTGCCTTCTCTTAGATGAGTTGCCGTCTCAGAGTAGAATCAGCAACTCATACTTTGTTATTTATTTCAGGTATGGGTTTGATAGCTTCTGGAGAATGTGATATAGTCATAGCTGGTGGAGTGGAGTTCATGTCAGATGTGCCAATCAGACACAGCAGACAGATGCGGAAGATCCTGTTGGCATCACAGAAAGCCAAAACAATTTCGGCCAAGCTTAGCCTTTTGGCTCAGGTTCTCAAGCCAGCCGTGTGGAACCCAGAGCTGCCAGCTGTTGCGGAGTTCTCCACAAATGAAACTATGGGACATTCTGGGGACAGATTAGCTGCTGCTTTCGGAGTGACTCGACGGGAGCAGGTGGGTTTGGAATCAAATTTGTAAGCTTTTGGAACTATTTCCAACTCTTTATTATCTGATATCAGTTAAAATTATGGCCAAAAAATGTAACACTTTTAGCCTTGGAACTATTTCTCTCTCTATTAACTGTGATCAGTATCCATAATGGGTGTAAATTATAGCACTTTTACCCTGGAAATTCTTTCTTTTCTACTGACTGCGATCAACATCCATGACCACTACAAATTATAACACTTATATCCTCTTCTTCTTCTATATATTAAGGGCCGACGATCAATTTATTGATCATTTTGGCTCCTATGCATGTAGAGGGGATTTGCAAAGTTTCTGTGCCTGGTGCTGATGAGGATATTTCAATGATTACATGTGCTACTTTGTGAAGGAATCATGCAATGGGGGTTGGAAGGCTTGAGGCAATAGACGCAAATGTGATTAGTGTTGTCGCCTCAACTGTTTCTTTTGAAAGCTTGTTCCAGTCCCTGATTGTCTTGGGCAGGAATGAGCAATTCCTATACTGGTTTCTTGCAGGTATGAGCCGGAATTGCCTGTCATGGCCTTGTCGCTGTCTATGGGGGAGAGGGACGAGTTTCTGTTTAAAACTGGAAAATTGGACCAGCCCATTATTTATTTTGTACATCATGGAGAGCCTGGATTGTCGTCGTCGTTCCTCCAATGGCGACCAGCCTAGAGTTTCCAGCATACTGCCAACACTAGAGGTATTCCTGTATCGGTTCAGGACAAAGCAAGCCGCCCGTCGCTGGACCGCCTCCAACCTGTCAAGGGTCTTCTGGGTAAATGGGTCCCAGACTGAAGATGCATAATCTAAAATCGGACGGACAAAGGCTTTATATGCTCTTTCTTTTACACAGGAGTTGCCAATCTTCAGGTTATGCTTTAAGAACCCCAGGGTCTTGTTTGCTTGGTTACATACATTGTTAATATGCTCGTCCCAGCGGACCTCTCTTTGAATGGTAACACCCAGGTACTTTACTGAGGAAACTGTCTCAAGTATATGGCCATGCAGTTTGTATTGGTAGTATAGAGGAGTACAACTTCTAGAGACTGATAGTGTCTGGCACTTGGCAGGGGGAAATTCCATGTCCCAGCTCATCTCCACTCAGCTAACCGATTGAGATCTTGTTGTAGCTGGTCCTGGTCAGATCTGTTGGCGATCGTCCTATACACCGCTGTGTCATCTGCAAACAGTCTTGCTTGGGATGTCAGTTTCTCGGGTAGGTCATTTATGTATGCGAGGAACAAACAGGGGCCTAACACTGATCCCTGGGGGACCCCTGACTTCACATTCACAAAGGAGGAGCTTGTACCGTCCACCACTACTGCTTGGCATCGGTGGCTGAGGAAGCTATAGATCCGTGTTTTAGTGGTGCCTTGGATCCCATAATCTGGAGTTTGTGTAGAAGCAAACTATGATTGACACGGTCAAATGCCTTTGCGAAGTCCATCACCAACACGTCAGTTTGCTTGTGGTTCTCCAGATTGGTCATCAAGTATTCTACAAATTCAAGGAGCTAGGTCTCACATGATCTATTGATTCGGAAGCCATGTTGACAGTCATTGAGTATATTTTAGCTTTCAAGATGCTTCATGACTGTGCTTACGATTATGTGCTCTAACAGTTTGCAGACGACGCTAGTGAGGGATATCGGGCGATAGTTGGCAGGGTCAGAATGCTCCCCTTTCTTGTAGATTGGAGTGACATGTGCTGATCTGCAGTCTGCTGGAACATTTCCTGTGCACAGCTACGATTGGAAGAGGATTGTCAGGGCAGGAGCAATTTCTTTGGCTAATTCTTTGAGCGCTCATGGTTTGATGTTGTCAAGATCACATGCTTTGCAGGGGTTAATGGTTTTGAGAAGGGCAAGCACACCCTGCTCAGATATCTGTATATCTTCCATGACAGGGTAGGCTCTGTTCATCATTTTGGTCTTCAGATGGAATTTAGCCTCCTTTATGTTTTATGTTTTCAGGATGAATTTGCCGTGAGATCTCACAAACTGGCACAAGACGCCACAGACAAAAACCTCCTCACTGATAGATTAGATTATAAAGTTCCAGGTGAGAAATGGACCTTGTATATCACAGTATATTTATTTCCTTGTGACATAAAGCAGTCAGTTAAATTTATTCCAACAGCTTGTTTAGGGACTCAGTATCTCTTAAATCAGTATAAGGGTAATAAGGGGAGAGACTGCAATCAGGTTAGTACAAAATAAAATGAGTAAAACAGAGTAGGGTTAAACCTGAAAAAATAAACGCAACAAAACAGGGCACGTGTCGGCATAAAGCCTTCGTCAGCGAACAAAACAACAGAAAAAATGGTATAAAAATAAGAAATAGCACTTAGCTGGTAAGTAGTATCTGTGGGCAGCAATAGAATAGAATATTAAATCAGTATAGATGGGATGGAGGATAGACTGCAGTAATCCGAGGCATAAAAGAAACAAAATCCAAGGGATATGTAAGCTTTATAAAGTTTCAAAGATAACCTCAAAAAGTATTGGCAATAAAAACGTAACCACAGTCAATGTGTTTTTTTACAGTTCTTATGTACACTGATCAGTAGGTTAGATTGTGTTACTGGTGTTTAAAGAACACCTTAATTTTAAGAGAAAATTCTTTGTATCTGTTTGCAGGTGTAAATGAGGTTGTAACCAAGGATAATGGCATTCGTGTGTCAACTATTGAACAGTTGAGCAAGCTGAAGCCAGCCTTCATTAAGCCTCATGGGACTGTGACAGCTGCGAATGCTTCATTTTTGGTAGGACAAATGTTCAAATTGTTTCATTTTACTCTCACTGCATTGTCAGGAACTGTGATCAAGCTTTTGTCACATTATTTTAATAGTCTTGTGATATAGCTTCAAAAATAAAATACTACAATAAAGAATTTATTCAAATAACAAATTTAAACTGTCTATATATTTGTACAGACCGATGGTGCATCTGCTTGTCTGATCATGTCTGAAGAGAAAGCCCTCCAGCTGGGGTACAAACCAAAGGCTTACCTCAGGGATTTTCTATACGTTGCCCAAGATCCCAAAGACCAGCTTCTGCTAGGGTACATTTTTTATCATTTTCTTACTTATTAGTTTTTATATAGATAAATGGTTCAAAAACTTTGCTCATTCCTTTGAAATAACGATTCATTTTTATAACAAAAATTAAATGTGTGCTCCCTGGATTTGCTCACACAAAAGAATGTTTGTCTTTTAAAAAATTAACTATTTTATGTCCTTAGTAATTGTAAATGCCTCTTCCAAGACACACACACACAACACACATACACCCACCCCCCCCCCCCCCCCCCCCCCCCTCCTCCTCCTCTCAAATCTCATCTTACATTATTTTGTCTTCATTTAGTTTCTTTGACACACAACACACGCCCCCCTGCTTGTGCATTTTAAACTTACTTAAATTGAGTTTCTCCATATGACAATGTCATTCATATGACAATGTCATTCATATGACAATGTTATCCTTTCAGCCCTGCATATGCCACTCCAAGAATATTGAAAAAAGCTGGCCTCACCCTGAGAGACATTGATGTATTTGAGATTCATGAGGCGTTCGCTGTAAGTTTTACCACAATAATTGTTCTTGTTACCTGAACATAGAATATTCCTTGAAATGTAAGAACAAGGTATGTTAAACTTTAATTAATAGACAGGACAAAAGGTTTTTACTTTTCGGCCTAGAGCTTTTTTCAGCATACAAGACAAATAGAACAAAGACAAGTATTAATTCAAGTTTAACATCCCTTGTTCTTTCTTTTCATTCATTTGCACAGCTTGAGTGCAGTCCATCAATTATTATAGAATATTCCTTAAAGTGAAATCCCTAATTTTAAAATAAGAATCCAGTGATTTCTTATGTATTCTAAACATGCTGATAACATTGAGTTCACAGCAGTGGCAAAATGAGGACAAAACTTGTGACCCAATTTTGCAGACTGCTTTATGTTGACTTCCTTTAATTACCTTTGTCTCTATTGTTTTATATAATTGAATCAATAAAATATTCTCCTATGACCCGCTCATAAGCCAACCACCCCACTTATTCCCCTTACCAGGCCTGAAATATTTTTTTAAAAGACGGATTATCATTGAGTATAATTATATGATAACTTTACCATAAAATTAATTATATTCTCCTTCAGCAAGGTTTTGACAAAAATTTCCTTAGCATGATTGTATTCTGCCCCATGTCTTGTCTCCCATGATTTCTCTCCATACTTTATTTAATTTGTCTTTCCTGCTGCTAGTAGTGAAAAGTCACTTGTTTCTATCACACACACTAGCCACTTGCTGCCAGTAATCTCCCCTCCTTTGTTTTTCAGGGTCAGATTCTTGCCAACTTTAAAGCCTTAGATTCTGATTTCTTTGCCCAGAAATACATGGGACTGCAATCCAAGGTATAATTGGTGTTAGCAGGTTTAAAATTTTTTGTTTTTTTTCGTTCATGATTGAATCCAAAAAAGGCAATATTGTCTTCAGTCTGGTTGTGACTTGTTCTGTACATTCTGTAAATAGAGGCTTGTACATGTTTCCCTAGTTTGGAGCTCCACCTTTAGAGAAAGTCAACACTTGGGGAGGATCCTTGTCTCTGGGCCATCCATTTGGAGCCACAGGAGTTCGTCTTGCCACCACAGCAGCCAACAGACTTATTCATGAAGGCGGCCAGTATGCTCTTATTGCAGCCTGTGCTGCTGGAGGCCATGTAAGTCAAATTTTTAGTCTTGGGTACAGATCCCTGAAAAGTCAAGTCTTCCCTCCACTGTATGATAAAACGGGCTTGCTTAATTTTATGGGTTATGGCTTAAAGAAATTCATAGGTTCAGGAAAAAACTTGTAGAAAAGCCTGAGCTTGTAATGCTGAACAGAGCCAAAATGGCAAACTAAAGGAGGAGTCTTAGTACAAACCATGCATCAGTGCAATTGGAAATATTCAAACAAATTAATGGTCTCAGACCCGTCCCCAGTCCCCTTCCTCACATTTGCTAGGGAGACTTTGGTGGGCGTGCTCCATTTCCGCTCCCCCACCCCACCTTAGTCAATCAAATAGGGGATTATGGGGACATGTTTATATTCTATAATGCACTGTATATACATTTAGTAAAGAGTTATATTTTGATTTAAATATACACATAATTTTTTTATATTCAGTTAACGGCAGCACTTATATGCACTAAAAATAAATAAATAATTATGTCCATCATTTATTAGGTAATTATTTTCTTAATTAATTTTAATGGCATGCGGCCCGCGAAGAGTTGACTTGTGATCAAATTGGCCCCTGGAGCTATTTGGATTGGACTCCCCTGCCCTAGATCTTACAAAAACAAAAAACTAATTTTCTAAAAAAAATGGGACCAACCTGTAAAGACAGAGTGACGCTATAGAATAGAAAAAATGTTTTTGTTGAGGCAATGAACGATTGAGTAAACGTACATTATATTTGTAACACAAATTCCCACTAATGTTGATTTTAAATTTCTTTTTCAGGGTCATGCAATGCTCGTGGAGCGTTATCCCTCTTGAAGCACAATAGATCAACATTAGAATATGTATATGTGTTGACAAATCATCCAAATATTTAAATTATTTGACTTAAAATTATAATGCCTTCACCATATACCTTGTCAAATTAAAATTTGTATGTCTAATTTTATTTTCCTAACAATGATGATGTCATGTTCCCATACTGTTATGATGATGATGATGTCATGTTCCCATGCAGTTATGATGACCATGTCATGTTCCCATACTGTTATGATGATGATGATGATGTCATGTTCCCATGCAGTTATGATGACCATGTCATGTTCCCATACTGTTATGATGATGATGATGATGTCATGTTCCCATGCAGTTATGTTGACCATGTCATGTTCCCATACTGTTATGATGATGATGATGATGTCATGTTCCCATGCAGTTATGATGACCATGTCATGTTCCCATACTGTTATGATGATGATGCCATGTTCCCATGCAGTTATGACTTTCATTGAGTTGGAGTTTAATTTGTTGTTTAAAACTTTATATGTTTATATGTCAAACTGTTTGATTAATAATGAAATGCTCTGTTATATGGTGTAAAACAATTTGTTACAATTAACTAAAAATTACTGCAATGGCCAAAGTGTTTGTGCCGGGCAGTTAAAGAATGAGCAACCCAAAAATATTTATGAGACCAACATGTGCCATAGTTGATCATTGTTCATTTTGTTGTTTTCTTAGATAAATCACTTCATTTTAAGAGATAATAATGAATTCAAAAATTTTTTGATGAAATTTATATACAAAAGTGCTTTTACTCCATTTAAGACCTACAATACAAAGACAATTTGAGTTGAAATTTGCTCTAAAATTTGGTGTAATAAAAGATTTAAAGAAAATTGAGCTTGAAGAAAGACAGCCACATTTTTTAAAATAATCCTGAATGAAGATAACTTTTAAAATGTAACTGTTGTGTAAGAAAACAATATTTGAATACCCTTGCATTAAGATGATAGTCATCCAAATAACCAGTCACATGTTTAAAAACTTAACTGGCTGTTCAAAATCATGAATATTTCATTGAATTATGAATTCAATGGTTTGCTTGTTGCTACCACTACAGCAATGTAAACTTGTCATAGAAGAGAATCAGGTTCTGTTGTCGTGTGTTTCCCAGCAGGAGATAAAAACCGCTGTGAGAATAAATTATACTTAAACTGTCAAATTTGATGCTATTTTTAGCTTCTTCCCATGGTTGGGGGTTCATGAATTCTTAATGCTTGACAGGGTGATAAAAATACATTAGTTCATTAGCAGAAGAACGTAAAATTAGGCTTTCTCTATTAAAAATTGTATGAGCTCACAAAGAATGGACTGCAACTTTGTTAATGTCTGAAAATTCTTAATATCATTTGAGCTGTATAGAAAGTCACACTTTTTATGTCAACCAGGGGGTGAAAAGCAATTTGTTCAATTTATTGAAGAAAAAAAATCAAATTTGACAAATGTCACAAATCATAATTCTCTGTGTATGTATGGCTGTAAAGCTGGTTTAAATCGGTGGGCTAAATTGAATCCCCAAAGTTGTCACTAATTGGGATTCTTATAAAGCACTTTACTTGAATGCATGTTTTGGCAAGTGAAAGGGAAGTTCACCATTGCCAATGTCTTTTTTTGTGTGGTGGGTTTGGGTGGGGGTGGGGGTAATATCTCTAGTGTAAAAAATCACATTTTTGATGCACTGTGGTATATGATTAAATTTTCCTCATCATGTGCTTGGAAATGTAGTCACTTTGGCTTAGCATGTCCCATTTTTAAAGTCTCCAATTTTGTTGTTTAACTGGTAGCCACTATAGCAACGTTGTCATAAAGTTAAAGTAATTTTTGTTGAAATTGTAGTCATTTACTTGTCTCAGCCCAGAATAGTGAAACAATGGCGGGTACATTGAGATTTCACAGCAATATTCTTCAGTCTATTTATTGTTTAAAAATCTAGAATGGAGAACTTCCCTTGAATTTCTTTTGCATTGAATCAGATTCATAGACCACACTCATGGAATATTTGCAGTTTCCACACTCTTGTTTAATTGTGAAAAGATGGGCGCTTCTTTGGACTCCATTGTGAAATGTTGAAAGCATATCACATAATAAATATAACATTAGAGAGGAATTCAGCCTGAACAAATGTGAATACATCATTTCTTCATATTATCATTCTGTGGTAATGTACAGCCCATATGTACGGTATACTGTTGATCAATGGTAGTGCACAGCCTATATGTATACTGTTGACCAATGGTAGTGCACAGCCTATATGTATACTGTTGACCAATGGTAGTGTACAGCCTATATGTATACTGTTGACAAATGGTAGTGTACAGCCTAAATGTATACTGTTGACAAATGGTAGTGTACAGCCTATATGTATACTGTTGACAAATGGTAGTGTACAGCCTATATGTATACTGTTGACAAATGGTAGTGTACAGCCTAAATGTATACTGTTGAAAACTAACACAGTAAGATCAATACACTGTATGTTAAATCAATGATTGAACTGTGTATGTTTTAACTGTGCCCATATCCTTAGTATCACTGGCACAGTCTACCATGACAGAAACATCAATGGAGTTATTCAAGTGCCACACCAAGGACTTTGTGACCTGCCAGAATGTTGTGTAAACTCTTACTTTGGTTTGTATGTGATATAATTTTTAAAATAATGAAATCAAGTTGTATGTGATATAATTTGAAACATAAATATTTTCCTTTGCTTAAAGTGTTTTGTTTTTTTTCTTTACTTTTACAGTTATACTTTTTCTTTTACTAAATTGTTAAATAATACAAGACCAGTTATCCTGTTCTGATGGGTTTAGTTCCAACACTGCAGAATGCACAAGATAAGGTTTGAAACATTTCCAGGACTCTATAAGAAAGAACAAGGTGGAGCAATTGAAACGTGTGATGTCAGGTTTCTTTACTGCTAGTGTCTGCAAAGAAAATCAGTGTTAGTCTTATTTTGAAATCCTTTATACCAACCTCGCTTTTGCGTATTTAGGGCAAAATCTTCGGACGGTGAATAGACTCACTTCCCGCCAACCTATCGAACGGAAACTTGGCACATAGACTCGTTGCCGATGACAGCACATTCTTTCAAATTTTCAACCACAAACCCATACCCCCCAAGTAATTTAGTCCCGTTTTTCAAGTGGAAGAAGCAGGAAATAAGATGTCACTGATTTCATGAGATAAAATTCCCAATAACTGCGCTAAATGTGATTCGTAAGAAGTGCCTTTGGTGTGAGATATTTTCTTTTGTTTGTATGAAATAGTTGCTGAAATAAATCTGACGTGTAAAAGCGGGTGGGTCATGGGAACACAAATAAAAAATAAATTAAATTACCGTACTCAAAATGCACATAAAAGGATTGATAGGAAAAACTGAGTTGTTAAGGGTTGTTTACTTGTTATGCTCTTTGGTGTCTAATGATCTTTTGGGTGATTGAAATAGAGCGCTAATGCTTTTAGTAAGCATTTAGTAAGCCTATACAAGGATGAAATACAAGTTTAAAAATGGTTCCCTGGTATAAAGGTCATCGGTACGCAGTTAATACTCATGTGAGAATAGAATGGGTTCAGTCTGCCAATGGACACCAGTAACTCTTCTTCAGTCACCAACAGTAACAGCCTCAGATACCATTATTTGCTACTGTATGATTCCTCTTGGTCTGATAGGGAGTCAGAATAAAAACGACCAATACACTTAATTATTGCCCTATTGTTTTCTTTTTGGACATTGAGTACGGCGTCTCTTGAAAGCCCTGCTACCATTTTATTCATCCCCTCTAGACCCCCCCCCCCCCCCCCCACGAATCCCCTGCGAGTCTGCCTGCTCTCTGGTGGCATCTGGCTCTTGTAGCATCTTGCTCTGGTGGCATCTGGCTCTGGTGGCATCTGGCTCTGGTGGCATCTGGCTCTTGAAGCATCTTGCTCTGGTGGCATCTGGCTCTGGTGGCATCTGGCTCTTGAAGCATCTTGCTCTGGTGGCATCTTGCTCCTTTGGCACCCCGATATGTTTGCAATAACTTTGACGAGACCACCCAGCTCTGTCCGGTGACACCCTGTTTTTGTGACACTCTGTTCTGATGGACCATGTTTGGATGACTCCCTGTTCCGGTTGCACCATGATCGAATGGCAGCCGGCTCGGATCGCACACTGACACTGTTCTAGTTGCACCCTGTTCTGGTGGTCCCCTTTAGTTCTGTTGGCAGGCTACTCTGCTGGCACCCTGCTCTGTCTGGTTACACCCTGATTTTGTGGCACCCTGCTCTGGTGGTCCCCTTTAGTTCTGTTGGCAGGCTACTCTGCTGGCACCCCGCTCTGCTGGCACCCTGCTCTGTCTGGTTACACCCTGATCTTGTGGCACCCTGCTCTGGTGGTCCCCTTTTAATGGCAGCCGGCTCGGATCGCACACTGACACTGTTCTAGTTGCACCCTGTTCTGGTGGTCCCCTTTAGTTCTGTTGGCAGGCTACTCTGCTGGCACCCTGCTCTGTCTGGTTACACCCTGATCTTGTGGCACCCTGCTCTGGTGGTCCCCTTTAGTTCTGTTGGCAGGCTACTCTGCTGGCACCCCGCTCTGCTGGCACCCTGCTCTGTCTGGTTACACTCTGATCTTGTGGCACCATGTTTTTTGGCGGCACTATGTTCTGGTGGCATCCTGCTCTGGTGACGCCGTGTGCTGACGTCACTTTGCTAATCACTGCTATGGTGGCACCCTATTCTGGTGGAACTCTGCTCTCATATTTAACTGATGTGTGTTATGAAACTGACTGTAGCGAACTCTTGTTAAATCTGCATTATTTATATTGGGTGTCACCCTGTGCGAGGCTGTCACCCGGTGCGAGGGTGTCACCCGGTGCGAGGGTGTCACCCGGTGCGAGGGTGTCACCCGGTGCGGTCCACACCCGATGCACCCCTCTTGTAACGCCAATGTCTACAAGAATAAGAATGGCAGTGCGAAAGGTTTTGAGGAAAGGAAGTAATGCTTTGTGAGTGTGTAGTGTAGAGAATAAAACATGGACATTGATTGATGACTAATTGAGAATAGAGTCGTGCGAGCTCTTGTGTGTTGCAAATAGATTTAATTTTTAGCCACGGAAAAATCTAAATCCCCCCCCCCCCCCACCAACCCCCCCCCTACCCCCTCCCCCCCCCCAATTTATTTAATTTTTACCCCCGGAAAAACCTAAACCCCCCCCCCCCCCCAACCAACCCGCATCTTACCCCTTCCCACGCTCCACAAAGGCGAATAGCATCAACATAATATCCCGGGCATAGGCTCCCTTGATTTCTGCTATAAAAAGACCAGTATTCAATCAAAGCTTCCACGTTAGACAGATACCGATGGCCGGCGCCTGAGCTCAACTCCTATGGGTGTAATCATGCCCTCGTCATTGGCCCCGCCCCGGGCCTCCACGCGCTCACCTCCGGGCTTACACACACACGCGCGCGCCTCCGGGTCTCGCCACACACCTCCGGGCCTACACACACACACCCGAGCCTCCACACGCTCAAACACCCCCCCACCCCCCGAGTATATTCATGTCACCAAGCCATTAGAGTTGTCGATCGTGTGGTATCTTTGTGAACTCAGTCAGGCATATTTACATATTTGAGGCCATATAAATCAGAAAAATTGGCGGTTTGTATGTGTGTTTGTGTGTTTTTGTTTTTCTTTACTTAAAAAAAAATCCGAATAGCTTCACATAATGGCTATGACCTATAGTTTAAAATCACTGGCTTGGTCCGCCTAACGGAGGTGTGGCCCACCCAAATGGCTTCACGGGCCACCTTGATCGCGAGTCAACTCTTTGTGGGCCGTATGATATTTGAACAAATAAATTAAAAAAAAAACAAAAACATATCAAACTAACAAATAAATGATTTACACAAAAATTTATTTATTCTTAATGCACATAAATCTCAGAGGATAATACTTCTACTTGCGCCACCTCACATTAATAAATTGTAAAGTTCTAAGTCGAAATATAAACATTAAATCTATTTATGTACTCTGTTGTGCGTGCACGTCTTCGCCACTTTGATCGACAAAGGTGGCACAAGTAGAAGCGGAAATCGGAATGAGAATGATCGTTAATTGAATCATGTAATACGTTCGTTTTAAGAGGCGGGTCGCATGTGGGCCGGGTTGGTGACCACTGTTCTAACTGGACATTTAAAGAACACCAGACATCACTAATATTGTTCATAAGCTAGTGACTAACGTCTGTGGGGATAATACTTGCAGTGACTAACACCTGTGGTGGTAGTTCTTGCAGTGACTAAATCTTTGGGGGGTAATTCTTGCAGTGACTAACGTCTGTGGGGGTAATTCTTGCAGTGACTAAATCTTTGGGGGATAATTCTTGCAGTGACTAACGTCTGTGGGGGTAAGTCTTGTAATTGCAGCGTAATTTCACGGTATTAACATGGACGACGTCACGAAAGCAAAAGGTTTATTTGGACTACTTCAAGTGGACACGTTAACTCAGTGGCTCTCAACCTTCCTAAATCCCCGACCCTTTAATACAGTTCCTGATGTTGTGGTGACCCCCAACCCTAACACCCTTTTTCGTGGCTACTTCATTAACATGTATTTTCCGATGGTCTTAGCCGACCTCCGTGTAAGGGTCGTTCGATCCCCAAAGTGATCTTGACGCACACGTTGAGAGCCGCTGCATTGACTAACATTAAAAATTCAACTTTGTCGATGAATGATTACAATGGCTCATACCAGGGACGTGCGTGTGTGTTTCGAAAAAGACAGTACTTTTCCACCTTTATGCATGGGCGTCATGGTCGACCAACTGAAGCTTTGTTTTTCGTGTGGAAAAAAATGGAGGGGGGGGGGGGCAAAAATAATGTGGCCGTGGACTCTCTTGATCATTTTTAGCGCCCTTCTCATGGTATAGTTTTGGTGTCTGAAGACGAGGCAAATCAAAGAGCGCATTTTCGCATAAGACAAGTTCCTTGCAAATTGTGCACCTTATTTTAAAATTCTGTATTTGTTCTGTTTAATTTGTTCGATTAAAATGTGAATTAACCGAAAAGTACGTTGTTTTGTTTCGTCTTCATTTGGCTATCACCCCCCACCCCCAATCCTGTGTTTTATATTTCACCTTATAGTGAGTGTCATTTATCACAAGCTACAGTTTATGTCAACAACGAAATGGGAGACGTACTCTCGACTCTCGCCTTGTCAAATAGGAGATAGCAACAGACTGTCATGATTTAAAAAAAATTCTCTCGTAACCGTGTCACCCTTTCTTGACAACACCGCGTACCGCCATTGTTGTGACAGTTGTTATATGAGAGCTTTAATCTGTTAGTCTCAGACACTGTCACGGGCTTATTTATAAATTATAGAGATTTACAATTTTATTTCAAGTAGGTTGTAGATTTTAAAGATGTTTGGGAGAGGAAAGTGGTAGGCGGACAGACGGTTGAAATCTCCGCCTTAGTTTTAACACAGAGGTGAGGGGAGGGAAGTGTCGTGCAGGAGTGTTTGTGATCAAATTAAACATGCATTGGTGATAGTGACTCGCAGGGTGGTAGCAATGATAGTGACTGGCAGGGTGGTAGCAATGATAGTGACTCACAGGATGGTAGCAATGATAGTGACTCGCAGGGTGGTAGCAATGATAGTGACTCGCAGGGTGGTAGCAATGATAGTGACTGGCAGGGTGGTAGCAATGATAGTGACTGGCAGGGTGGTAG